ATTGAAATCTCTATGGCGCGTTTTCTACACCCTGTATATGTCAAAAATATACCTTGATTCGCGATTTCTCTTTTTTGCTGCTGAAGTTCGCATACAAGTATGGAGATGAACACATTAAAATTGTTTTCACCCTTACTTCCAAATAAGGGTCATTGTTCATCGACAACACCAAAAATTTACTATTAACTTCGTAATTTTTCTAAACTGTTACGTGTAGACGACATTGCAATGTGCACATTCAGCACCTACTAATACTAGGCATCAGAGATAAGGACTAACAATCTAATTTTCTGTTCAGGCTCACTGTCAAACAAAATGACTTCAACTCAAACGAATACCGATTTACTCGAGGTTGGCACAAGAGTAGACATTCGGAGAACGGATGGACGAATACATTCCGCGTTCGTTGCGGGAATCGACTGGGATGCCAAGTGCACAAACGTAGAATGGTGTGAAAATGATGAAACGAAAGGCAAAGAAGTCGAATTGGTAGCCATACTAAACTTAAATCCTCACCTACGCATAGAACACAAGAATACAACCGAATCACCGGAAGACCTTCCGAAGCCTCGAGTCCAAACCTCATCGCATACCACGACCCACAGAGATACGTCATTGCCCATACCACGCAAGATCAACCGCGTACAGCTTCGCAATTCTTGCGTGGAATCCCTAACGGACGTTCAGCCTGTTCGCACCAGTCGAGTGGTCGCCAGAGTCGAAAAATTAAAGAAAAATCGCGAAGATCGTCGGAAAAAGTATGTGGAAGAAAAGATTGAAAAGGCGACAGCTTTTGGAGGCGCCGACAACCCGCATCAGGCTCTCATTCGCATGATTTCCGAGTTTCGAAAGGGTCTAGTCTTCAAACCCCTATCCACGAGTGACATTGTAGAGAGTCACTTGATAACCGTCTGTGTGAGAAAGCGGCCGCTGAACAAGAACGAAATTTCTCGGAAAGAGGTCGACGTAATCACCATTCCGTCGATAAATCAATTGATAGTTCACGAACCAAAGAATAAGATCGACCTAACGAAGTACATGGACAATCAGATGTTTAGATTTGACTACGCGTTCGACGAAACCTGCGACAACGCGACTGTTTACAAGTACACAGCGCAGCCGTTGGTTAAATCGGTATTTCAGGGGTGCTTCGCGACATGTTTCGCGTACGGCCAAACAGGTGCTGGAAAAACGCACACAATGGGCGGCAACTTCATCGGACGAAACCAAGATTGTCACCAAGGTGTGTATGGAATGGCGACCAAAGACGTATTCCACATGGCGCGGTCAACCTACGCAAATCTAAAGCTTACAGTCTCGGCCAGTTTCTTTGAGATCTACTCGGGGAAGGTGTTTGACTTGCTAGCAAATAAAAAGAAGCTTACCGTACTGGAGGATGGCAAACAGCAAATACAAATAGTGGGGCTAACCGAAAAGGCGGTGCTATCTCCGAATGAGGTCCTGCAACTGATTTCCAAAGGAAACATGGCGAGAACTTTTGGCCAAACTGCAGCTAACACGTACTCCTCGCGCTCGCACGCTATTTTCCAACTTATTCTGCGTTCGCCTGGCCACAAAAATATCGTCCATGGGAAACTGTCTTTGATAGATCTGGCGGGCAATGAGAGAGGTGCGGATACCGCCTCTACAGATAGACATACGCGAATGGAAGGGGCGGAAATTAATAAATCGCTTCTAGCCCTCAAGGAATGCATTCGTGCCTTGGGCTTCAAACAAAACCATCTACCGTTCCGCATGAGCAAACTGACTCAGGTCCTCAAAGATTCCTTTGTCGGTCCCAATTCGAGAACGTGCATGATTGCCATGATTTCGCCAGGTGTCTCCTCCTGCGAACACTCCCTAAACACATTGCGATACGCCAACAGAGTCAAAGAGCTCGTGGCTGGAGACGTTGAAACCAACGCGGCTTCGATAACTTCCGATGATGGCACTATATCCGAAGATATCGCAAATTTTCATCACGCTGTGTCAGAACTACAGGTGGCAGAAGAGAAATTGATGAAGAACCACCAGGATGTTATCAAGCAATTGATCTCCACGACGGAAAAAGGTAAATCTCTGCTGAAAATGACCAACGCTGTTGAATACGATCAGGAGCAGTACTGTGCCGCATGGGATAATCTATTGACTAATGCCATTTCTACTTTAAATAATACGAAACAAATCGGAATGGAATTCAAGTCAAAGTTGTTACACGAAGAGAAGCTCAGCCGAAAGACTAGACCAGTGAACAGTAAATAACTATGAAGGTCCTATATTGAACTATATCTAAAACCGCAGTAGATGCTAGGAATTATTAATAAAAATTTTGTATTCAAGTTTTTTTTAATAAATGCAGTTGACAGTGACAATAATTCCATCAAATTCTATTAGGAAATTTAAGCTAAGTGGACAGTTTTTGGATAAACAAATCTAAAAATCTAACTTCGAAGCGATAAGAGAAAGAGATAGAAAGATTTTGGAGCGGACAGGGCGGTAGCAACGATGGGCGTCACGAGATAGGTACGGTGGAAAAGTTGAGCATCCCCGTGACGGGGGGTATAAGGAAAAAATAAAACGATTTTCTACTGCAAACATGGAATGGAGGAAATAAGGTTTATAGTGGTGAATTTATGGAAGCCTGTGAGGCGTTTTTTGTACCGAAAGCCGCCACCAGTGAGGTAGTCCGGCGCGAAAGTAAAGTTGGGAGGAAAGGGTGGCGTAGCGGGAGAACGGTGTGTACCTACATTTTTGGCCAGCGTTCCTTTGTGCTTCAAGCCGACAACGCACAAGTATAATTGAATCATCCTTATAGAGTAGAAAGGAAACGTTGCGATTTGGGTCTTAACGGGAACGATGGGAAATTGCCTATAATAATTTTTGCATTTGAACAAGCACCGAAAAAAGAATTGTCTCAGATCGACCCGGAAAAAAAATTTTCTTATAGAATGTGGCCTGTAGAATCCATAATTTCAAACAGTTCCAAGATTGGGCTACTAGTTCAAAAGTTACAGCCCTTTCAATTTTTTTTCGAAATTGGTTTCTAGTCTATAACTTTTGATTGAGAAGTCTGATCGAAAAAGTACGAATTGATTTGGATTCTACGCATCCAAATTAATAAGAAAAAGTGTTTTCCCGAGAAATTTTGGTGTAGTCGATTTTTGGTAAAAAAGGAAGGTAATAACTGCCTTTTTTTGAGCCCCGAAGAAAAAATTGTCTCCGATCGACCTGTCATACAATTTTGACACTCAAAATTCATCAAGAAGCGTAAAAAGATGAGTTTTTGTGCTTTGTTGGGATTTAAAAAATAGACGAGACTTTCCTAGTAGAAGGTGTCCATATCAAGAGCGCGTATGATGTGATCTCGTGATTCTGCTCGTGCAAAGGGTAGGTACAGGTTTCAAAAGGAAAACGCATGTGCATCTTCCCACAAATATTGTGTGCCTATCAATTACCCAGTAATCGAAAACGAAATGAGTATATAAAAAAAAATTATTGGTGTAAGACCCATTTTTTCCAAATAAACTGATTATCTAAAATCAGTTTCAAAATTTGTGTTTCTTTTTTAATATTTTTATAAACAACCATAACACATTGGATGATGGATAGCGGCTTTACCTAAGCTTGTTGGTGCGCCCTTTCTGATTTTGTAATTTTTTAGCGCATTTTTGCGAATTTATTTGTAAAAAAGTAGCTTTTAATCTCATTGGCTGGTCGGCTGGCAGCAAATGCTGGCCCGTAGAAAAACGTTTGTAGAAAGATGAGGAGTGTACATATGTGGCTACCGCAGCCGTGTAATTAACAACTTCAGGGGACAGGACTACATGATATGGGTTCACCAACATCTGAGCGCCATCCCCAAGCGTATTATACTAACGTGATGATTTTTCAGTTTGTTCCTATCTTCTTCTACAATTTTGGTCCGATTGTTTTTAAATTGGTGTCCTCGACTTTGGACACCCAAATGATTCTTAGAGTTCGAATCCATCTCGTTCTGCCTCTTTGGGACTTTGATGGCCCTTGTTAGTTGTGTATCCATCAAATACAATAACCACATTGCTACCCAAACATCTCGAATGTTATTTTGGAATTTTTGTTGTACAACTTTATGTAATAGGTATCCTCCTGCCAAAATTTGACTCCCTCCATGGGAGGGAAGATTGCAGACTTTGTTCCCTTGCGCATTTCCTCCTCACTGAAGTTGTGACATAGGGAAAGGTGCGAGTTCAAACTCGAAAAGTTCGCTTAGATCTTCTTCGGATTTTTTGACAACGTAGGCACGCTGGAAAAGAGTAAGAGAATGATAGTAAAATTTTTTACCAGCAATTTTCAACGAGAAAAAAACGGAAGCGAGAGTCACGATCATATCTTTCCGGTTCAGTTTTACGAGAGACTCTCTGGATTGCGGGCACAAACTAGGAAGCTTTTTAATATTGCAAAAAACACGGGGGAGTGGAGTCAATACCGCGAACTACTCTCGCCGAATACAATAAGGCCATGGTGCAAAACGTGACTCGTGGAGGACCTACTGCGAGGAAATTGATCAAATTCCAGAAGGAACAGAGGGGATAATCGGTTCCTTGGAGAAAATTGAGGGGGGTTACGCAACTAATTGGAAATGAAGAAATTAGACAAGAGGAAGTAACACGAGGGTTCGCTCAATCAAAATCATAGACTTTGTTAAAGACGCAGGTATTTTGGAAGGGTAGACAATACTGGGAAGCACAATAGTGGAGGAACCGACTGGGACCACCTCTAGCACTATAATAATAATCTGATCTGGGTTTAAATACTTATCAAAGTGTTGAGTATATATTCAGTATTTAGACAGTTGTTTACAAATAATCCAAAAATAATAAGCACCATCATGTTTTTGTAAAAGTTTTATATTAAATCATTGGTTACAAACCATTTTACTATCATCTGGATAGACACAACCCGAATGCATCAATCTTGATCTGTTTTGCGCATAATTATTAATATGATTTAAACCACATGGAATTATTACAAAAACGTCTTTTATTTGGTTTTCTATCACTAAAAGATATGACAAAATTGGCACAAAATCGGCTAGAAATGGTTTAAACTGCCGTAATTTGTACATGATCGACAATAAGGCAGGACTTCTCGTCATCCCACGTTTGAACCCATATGGGTTTCTTCTCAAAGAATCGCTTGATTGCGTTTCTGTCTTCATTGCTCCATGGTTTGTAATTACTTCCGGAATAGGTTCCTTCAGGGAAATCGAATAGTCCTCCAACTCCGACGCCTAAACTTAGTACGCACTAAAAATAAAAGGAAATAAACCAGTGATCATATAGAGTATTCAATCAAACTAAATGGCGGATAAAGTGTACTAACCTCCCGATCGAGATTTTCTGTTGACAGATCAACAGATCCGTACTCCTCAGAATCGACGTAGAAACGCATTTGATCTGAAAGGGCTTACTATGACATTTTCCAAAACACGTTGTGTAATAACCCACCTTTGGTCCACACCAAACCGTAAGTGTGATAATCGTCAGAGAACGGTTGATCCGCGTACTTGTGAACCAACCGTTTGCTTCGTTGAGGTTCGCGCTCCTCCAACGTAGGTCCTGCGAGCAAGAGACGCCCGCCAATATCGGTCCCACTAAATCCACGTACATCGATGTCGTTTGGATCGCTCATGATTAATTTGGTATTACCTCTACTGTACGCTATCCAAATTTTTGACGGATTTGCGATATCCCTTTGTGCGAATTCCAATTGTACAACTGAAAGTGAAAAATAATATATTCCTCATTTCATTACGCGGCCGTCGAGTATTTACTAGGGAATATCCAATCGCCTCTGGGCAGTTTGGCTCTGATTTCAACCTTTCCATACTTAAATGAAGTCGTTGAAACAACTTTACTCGCTTTGACTGGTGGTAACAGAAACGATGATCTTTGTTCGTAGAAGCATTCTATTTCTTTAGTTCCCGTGCATCTGTTTTAAGACATATTACGAAGACAGTTATAAGATGATCAAAAACGTACCCTTCTCTCAAATTTAAGGTTCCCCGAACGTCTGATTCTGGAACTGCGTTTGGTTTCAAGTGCAATTTGTTATCTTTGATAAATTTGGTATCTTCCCGATTTTCATACGAATTAAATGGCGAATTCTGTAAGGCTACATTCAGAGGTATAATACATACGCTATTCACTTACTGGTTCGGAATACGTGGGAATTCTGTGCTCCACCTTCCAAAGCATCGTATTGATAGTACTTCCATCGAATTTATCTTGGAAGATCACGTTATCAACGCACGTCGCTTTACCCCCATTAATAACAGTAGACCCGGGTTCGCATCTACCCTTAAGCTCAGTGTACGCATCCAGAAGTCCTATGCAAATCGTAATTAGGCCAATGGGCTTTTTCGCGCAACAACTCACGTGTAATCTTTATGGGCTCCCCGTCCTTTCTATATCCCAAATGATTTGCATTTACGAATAGCCAGTAGTTAACCACGTCTCCCTGTTTTAGCTTGTCATTGAATTCCAGTATCCAAAACCCATTCGTTGGAGTCCTTGCCTCCCCATTAACACTACCTGGATGTTGTGCGCGAATATTGTCATTGATGTTTGCGTGAAATGCAAATAGTGCCGTGCCGGGGACATCTGCGACATTAACAGCACTTTAATTTTTCGCTATTACCCTAAATCAAAATTAAATTGTATATGTGCGTGTGTTTTCCAAAACGGTACATTCACCCTTAGCATTGTTTTTGAGTATATTACACAAATGGCTCAAATAATTCAAGAACAAAAAAATCTGCCACTAAATTTAGTTTGCATTATTCAGGAATCTTGGTGTAATTTTAGAAAAGTAGCTAATTGATTTTCCTAACGACAGTGTAATAATTATTGGAGATAGATAAGCATGAGCGTCTTCATGGTAGTCAGAGGGTATTCTGTACAACTGGCAAGTTGTGGTATTCGAACTTACCACCTGTAAGGTCCGAATCTTAAACGTTACGGCAAACTGACTAATCTAGTGGTGGGACACTTTCAAAAGTCGGTGGATAATCAAGTAAAATTACCATAAATTACAACTAATTAGTAATTTAAGCAGCAGAGTGTTTCTGTCCTACAAAAATTATAAAGCTTCTGAGACGTTTGTATAGTATTTTTTGGTTGCCAGCATTTGGATTATCCAGCCACTTTTTGCAAGTACCTACCCACGATTGAAAGCATAGTGCTTTTTAAGATGCTTGAATTTTTAAAAAGATCTTCATAAAAATTTCCAAGATTTCAGATTCCTAAGGGTTTTGAGACAGAAGTTACCTGGAATTATTTTTAAAAAGTTTCTGAAAAAACTTGTAATGTTTCAGAGAGCCCAAAAATGTTTCTAATAAGAAGCGTATGATGAGCTAGGAAGATGGCGCAAAAAAATACTAACAAATTAAACTAATTAGAAAGATTAATGAAGTGTTTCTAGTCAATTCCTAAGTAAACCTCCAAGAAGATTTTTATGAGAAATACTAAAAGAGATGGTTTCAAAGGTTATTAAAAAGAATTTCAAGAGAACGTATTCTGTCCTTAAATTCTCAGGAAAACTTGTACGTAGTTCGTATGTCTCAATATTGCCTTATATTTTTATAACTCATTATTTTTACATTCCTTCTTACATTGTTACGCTCTGTATAATATTTTAAAAATGTGCCCCATAGTCAAATGATCTAAAAATAGACAGAACGAAATAGCTTAAAAACCTTGAGGGTTCTTGAAGACCCTCAAAGTTTCTTAAATGCTATTAAAGTTCGTAAAAGACAAAACACCCCCTGGTAACTCATGGGGATCTAAAAGGTAAACTCTCGAAAGCTCTTAAAGACTCGTTAAGATTATTTGTTACCCACTTGTAGATTTATTAAACACTCACGAACGAACGCAAATCATAAACACCATTGATGGCTAAAACACTGAAAGGTCTGTCAAAATAGAAGCATTTAGAATGCTCTTGGAAATTTTTCAAGACTGATAGCGACCAAAAAATTCCAAAGAATCTAAAAAGTTCATCAAGGTTCAGTTTACAAACACTCAAGGTGACACAACCTCTTCGGGCCATTTAGACTTTTTTAATCTTTTTAAAAGCTCTTGAAGATTCTTAACGATTCCTTTAGATGCTGTGTCTCTCTAAGAAAATATAGTTAATCTGACTTAAATAAAGCACATAACGCCCATATTACTTTTTTGATAACACTAGCAATTAGGGAGATATCCTATAAAAATGTCGAAAATGGGACACCCTGTACATCCCCGACGTATTCAATGAGTCGCAAACTAGTTTGCTCCAGCCAGGCGAGGGCTATATCATATAGTACATTAGGTACGTAGTACGTACAGTTTTCGTACATATTACAGATGTTCTAACACAACCTGCATACTATACCTATACGTACAATAACGTATAAAAATAGGGAGTTAAGAGTACGTACCACATAGGTACAAACATGTTGACAGTTACTTCTGAACCTTAGTGAGTACCCTCCATCCGATTCTTTCGTACAGGAAGCTGACTCAGGGATTCCTGAATCTGTAAACTGTTGCTCGAAACCATCCTACTGAAAAACAAACGTAAGACTGTCGACGAGTACAGAAAGAAACGTGTGGGATTTGCTCACTTAGTGATATCTGCCGTCAGATTATGAACCGCTGTTCTGGCGATGGTATCGCAAACTTAGCCATCGTACAAGGAGAATCCACCTCCTCCATAAAATAAACATCCGTCATGCCGGTCACAAACGCCTTCCAAAGCCAGGTAATTGACACAAAGTACCTGCGGCATTGTCAAGGTGGCAACTTTCAGTTCTGGCTAATTATTGGAGAAGACGCGGACCTCCATGTCCTTCTCAATGGTTTGTGATCGGCTTTGATGAAAGTAGCAGAGATAGCTCTGGCCCCTTACAATATTCCTCAACCTCATTCCATGGGGGAGATTTAGAAGTCCCCAGGATTCGAGTTCTTTCTCTACGTCTTCACTGGGTGCGACACCACCTCTGCCATTTTCTGGCATGGAAAGAACAAACTGTGATCTGCCATTCAGATAAAAACGTTGAACTCTACCCTTGCAACCGACACAGACATCGCAGATGCCGGAGCGAACTGCCTAGTAGCTTTGTATGGAGGAGACTATATTGAAGATACCCTCAACAACGTGCGCTATAAGAAATTTGTAAAAAAACAGCTGCTACCAAGTTCAGAAGTGGCTGGGGGTGCAAACCGATGCCATGGGAGGGAAGAAGGCCCAACATTCAAACAACAATGATGAGCGAAGTGGCAGAAGACGTCGGCAATCATGTGCCGATTTATCAGGCTGAATTAGAAAATTTTGAACCACCCACGAAGCGTTCAAAATGAACAATCTTAACTAAAAATAACATTATAGAGCACAGTATTAATAGTTGAAATATAAATTTCGGGTGGATGTATATGGTTTTTCCGAGGGGGTAACATCTTCCGCAATACTGTCACAAATTGTCTACAATCGCTTGCAATCCCTCTGATTGCTGTGGAAATCTCCCTCACAGTCCCACAATCGCGTTTGCAATCTCACAATCGCCTAAAACAATCTCGCAATCAGATTCGCAATCCCGCAATCGTTTGACAATCTGACAATCACATTGGCAATCGTGCACACCCTCACCTGTTTTTAGGTATAATCACACGCCACGCGGGGTTAGGCAAAAAAGTTATTGCACCTAACTTTTTTTTTTAAATGGAAAGCCCTGTACTACTTAATAAACCCCTAAAGCGGATCTAAAAAAGCGGCACAGCACCTCGGAATAACCCTACACCTCATTGGATTTGACTCATTTTCAATTGCCTTGGATTTGACTCATTTTCAATTGCCTTGTTACATGTGGTATATATGTTAACTGTGCAAGTTTCAACCGATTAGGCTCATGAGTTTGGCACAAACAGAGAGGCGCTTAATAATCTACAAATATAGTATATTAACTTTTAAAAAATATAATACACTAAGGATGATTCAAAAAGGGCTCAAAAAAGATTAAAAAAAAGGTCAAACGATTTGATAAATATAATAAAATTTTAAAAAAATTTTTGAATCTTTCGGTTTTTTAAATCTTTTGAATCTATTGAAATCAATGTGGAATTTTTGTAGTAGGTATTTGGGAAAAGAGATTCTTAATATGTTAGTTTTTTATTAAAATATTTCAATTTAAAAATGGACGTAGGAAATTCAAAAAATTGTAAATCTCAGAAGGAACCTATCTCGGAACCTATATTTATTAAAGGAGATTTAGAAAGATTTTTCTTACAAGTTTCTTTATAAGACTGTTGAATAATCTGCTGTTTTAAAATAAGTGTACGGGATCAGGTAAAAAGTTATAGGACCTAACCCGAGACCTAACGTCATTTTTATAGTAGAATGCTCTGTATATTTCATTCGAAAAAGAGCATATTAAATTCACTTTCTAGAAATATAACACAAACTTAAAATGTGCAATATTAGATTTTTGAAAAAATTTCAAAATGTTTAATTTTTTGTTGTTTTTTTAATATTTGAATCTTTCTTAAATGTTTTAATTCTTTTTTAATAATTTTGAATTTTTTTGTTTTCCCTATCGCGAGCGTTATATATTAAAAAAGAAATTGTTAATATGCTATCTTTTTAGATTAAAACATACAGGGTGTTCTATTTAAAAAATGAGGTTAAGTCCAGTAACTTTTTTGCGGACATCGTATATGTAACATTGTAACCTATTTTGTAAACGGCAGATTACCCAGCAAGTAATTTTGTAATAAACATTATTTCGTGTCTCTTTTTATTCTGATATTGACAATTTTTGATTTTCCCTTGTATCTCTGTAAGCGAGCGAATGTTTTCAAATTTTGATTGTGCCATTTTTTAACATTGGCCCAAAAAAAAGCACATGCCACTTAGTTCGTCTTTCGGTATGTGTGATTTGAGTGGGCCACCCCCCTATTAGAGTTATCGGATTGTATAGAACTTGTTCCATTGAAATACTCTTCTTTTTAGCACATTTCCACAAAAATAAAAAAACTTACTATTGTGGCCACTTTGCCCGTCCGTCCCTAGTTTTTCTACTTTTTTCGCTATTTGGTTCGTTATGCTGTCAAGGTTTGCACCAAGGAAGGAATTTTTTCTGTGCCGCTTACGAAAAAAGTTATGGTAAAAACCCATTTTTTTGAGATTGTATTGTATTGCTGTCTGTCTGTATGCCCGCCTGTCAGTGTATCTGTCTGTCTGTTTGTCCGTCCGTGTGCACGATAGCTTTTGTATTTGCGCAATCCATTTTTTATGTGTGAAATACTTAAATGAAACTTTTTATGTAGGCTGTAGATGTAGATGGCGACCTCGACTAAAGTAAAACTAGTGCCGAGTCAAAAAATATGTTGGGGTCATGCGCAATTGGATTTTTTTTATTTGTTGTTTAAATGAAATTTTGTATGTAGGCATCTCGAATAAAGATGAAACTAATGCCAAATCAAATAATTTGTTTTGTGCATGCCCAGAAATACCCTGAAATTTTAGGGTAGGGTTCTTTTTATAAACTGAAATTGAAGCAGCAAGTCAAAAATGAATTGCACATGTGCAACGCTAACTTTCTTATTTGTGGCCGGATTTTTACGAA